TATGTCCTAAATTTTTTATCTCTAATTACAAAGTTTATGTATAATTTTGCGACCAAAGTTTGTTGGTTTTTATCAAATATATATGTTAATTAGTATAATTTTATTTTCACTTTTATATAATAATACATAAAAGTTGATCTCCATTTTTATTTATCTATAATAAAGTCACAAAATTATTGAAAAATTCTTTTAAGTTTTTTTTAATCAGTTTAATTAAATTTTATTTAATTCTAGCAGTCTGTAGATATTAAAAAACAATCTTCTTCTTTCAAACTACATACGTTTGATCCACCTCTTCTACTGCAGAGGTCTGTAGATGTGTTCCACAGACTGCATATATTTTACCTCAAAAAAAAATCAAACAACGCCTTAAATGTCTAATAATGTCACTAATGGATGAACCTGGATGATCTCTTATGTTTGAGATGTTACATATATGCAATTTGTTGCTACTAGACAACAATCTATGTCCATCGTATTGGTATTTATTATTTATATACTCTATATTGAAATTCTCTCTTTCCCAAAAAAAAAATTAAATGAAATTATGGGTTCAAACAGATAGAACCGATTCAAGTTCTGTATCGTTCCAGTTTTATCAGATGTTCCTTTTTATCGGATGTCCCCGAAGGGACACCGATTCAAGTTGATTTAAGGTCCGAGACAAAAATAAAAGATGAATCCCTTCACAGTAATTTTTTTAAGTAAAAGAAGGCGGTGACTTAAATATATATATATATATATATATATATATATATATATATATATATATATATATATATATATATATATAGGGTTAAGTTATTTTGTTTTTACTAACTATTGTGTGCCAAAATGCACAGATCTGGACCACCGGATGGAATATAATCAATGGTCATGATCTGAGGGTCTATGATAGTCCAATAGGATAGCATGTACCATATAATCATACAAAATTCAACAAAAGGGTATTTTGGACAATTAACTATATTTAAAAAATGAAATTTTCGGATTTTTAGGGATAATTAATTCCCTTATTTTTAAAATTTTGAACTTTTTAAATTAATTCAAATTTAATTCTAATATTTTTTTAATAATAACCGATTTTATTCTGCTAGAATGACAAACAGTCAGTCATAAACTAGTTAATATTTTCGATTTTATTCTTGCAGAATATGGTTCCATTTAAGATATTTTTATAATTAACATGCTTAAAGAATTACACAACGTATTATCAAGAATAACATTTTTTAGAAACTATGGATTCTATATGAAACAAATTTCATTCTTTTAGAATCACTAATTACATTAATTCTTAAAAAATAAGTCTATAAACAATAATTACATTCATGCTAGAAAGAAAAATTTGACTAATAATGTTTAAGAAATACATTTATTCTTAAAGCCTAAAATTAAGAATAGTTATAAAAGAAAAAAAAAACATTAACATCTAAAAAAACATTAATTCATTCTAAAATAATATTATTGTTAAGAATCGCTTTATACATTCTGGAAGAATACATTCCGTTGGAATACACTTTCTGTCTCCATGTTTTTTTTTTCTTTTCCATATGAATGTAAGCCTCTTCAAAACCTAAAAAGAAAAAAAAAATATCAAAATATAACAAAAACATTAATCCATTCTGAAAGAATATTATTGCCAAAAATCGGCTTTTATACATTCTTGCACAATACATTTTGCTATAATGCAATATTGTTCTCCATGTTCTCTTTCTCGATATAAATCATAAATTATATCAAATATAAAACATTATCAACATAATACCAAGTTAAAAATATGAATCATGTATATGTATTCTTAAGGAATCGGCTAGCATAAAGTCATGAAAAATTCATGCAAATATCCCCTCTATTTGTGTAGCTGTTTAAACTGAACCTGCATTAGTGGCAAAAATGAGGACATAAATTCAATTACCCAAAACCAATTACGTAAAATCGATTAAAAGAGAAAACAAGTTTATTAAAGGAAAAAGAAACTTACAGGTCGACTGAAGAAGGAGAAAAATATGTCTAACTCCTTACTAGTCATAACTGTGCATGTTGCTACTAAAATGGACTGTTAATTATGATAATGATGGATTTCGATTAATGATGAAAGGTAACATTATATATAATTAAAAAAAAATGTTACCTCCACAAGAATTTGACAAGATGTGTTTTTTGCTACTAATATATAGTTCTCAATCGCTTATCGGTTTAGACCCACCTGTCAAAATTAACAACAAATAACTAATAATTGACATATCAATTAAGAAAAAAAGATAAAATGTAACTCACTAAAAAAACATGAAAAATAGCGAATGATCTACCGATTCCCATGACCTCCATGGATGTTGTGATGATTGTAAGTTATAAATTCAACAAATGAGTAAAAATTAATAAAATGATCACTAATAAGGTTAAGAGAGAAACTCATGAGTAATAAAGTTATGCCCCATTTTAGCCTTCTGCTTCTTCCGATTCATATTTTGGTGAGATTATAAATTAACATGTTCACAATTTGAATAGAAAAAAAGATCTCCCCTTGAAGTCCACTCGTGATTATATAAAAAAGATTCAACATTCACGTCAACTTCACAGTGGGTAGTCTTTATTTTCTCAAATTCCTATAAGATATACTTCATAATGAAATCGAAAAAGAGAATAATTTGCATACAAACGTGTGACTTAACTTCAACGCTTTGACGTGCTTCATTGCCGACTTCTCCGAAACCCCTTATTTGATTTGAACTCAAATCAAATAACATGTTTTTCTCAAACGAAATTCCTTTGTAAAATCAGAAATTGAGTAAAGAAACATACCAGGGCTACGATTTGAAAGGGAACTCTTTCTCTATGTCCGACAGTTGTGGTGTTGGTGTACGGCGACAATGGCGGACCTATTTCGACAATGAATAACAGTGTCCGACGGTGGAGAGAGGGGGAGAAGAAGCGGCAATGGTGATACGATGTAAGTGATGATGGAGAACGTGATAAAGGAGGTCGACGGCTTTTAGGGTTTTTAACTGATTTCACTAATTTTAAGGGATATTAAATGTTTAAAATATTTACCATAATTAACCGTAGTCAAAAATACTATTATACCCTTACTTATTTAATAAATTAATAAATTAATTGCTAAATTGTGATTGGAGCATTTAGGACACACAATATTTGCTAAAAACATTTGAACCTATATATATAAAATGGATCCTAACAATTTGCCCTGCACCATCACCATTTTGTCCCCTTTACTGACATGGCCCTAGAAGTTGTAAGAACTCTTAGCTCCTTTTTCTAACAAAATAATCGCTTTGAAATATAATCAAACGATGAATCATGGATGAGGGCCACGAGTTGAGTTCTATAATAAAATAATGTGAAAATGGCCTTTGGCAAAGATAGGAAAAACAATAATTTTCCTTTTAAAAAAAAAAAGAATCCTACCCTATGATTTATCTTCTCTATAAATAAAAAAGATTAATAGAATAATACAGATAGCAAGTGCTCTTTATCAATATGCTGATATTTATCTATTTAATGATCGATGAAGTGTTGTTGATGTCATACTAGCAGCCATCTTCTCAAAACGAGCGTGTATTCCAAATTTTTAATTCCTTTATAATAATTAGTGCACAGTCAATTAAGGTAATCATTTTATCATATTTATAATATCACTTGTTTCAGCCATACATGACATACAACATTTGTAATTTGTATATTGATATTGTATAATAAGCTTAATTATGTCTGAACTTGTCTTTTGCTCGTATTTGAAGTAGTATTACATGGCTTCAGCCAGAAGCTGATCGATGGCTATTTCAAACCCTGTTACAGCTTTAGACATTTTTCTTAAATATGTAATTTTCAAATAATCTTATTATTAAGCATATTCAATAGCTTAGTATAACACCAGTAGACACTCACATATATTATTTTATGAAAAAAATCAGTAAATGATGAAAGTAATAGTCTGACTCAAAAGTCAAACATCTTTTGTTTCATGAATCCATACTAATTTCCAACAATTTTGTGTAAATAAAAACTTGTTTATGGTTTTAAATTACGCAAAAACTGTTTCTTAACATATTGTTAACATGACCATTTAAAAATTCATATCAAAGTTCCCACCATTTTCATCAAGACTTTCTAATGAAGACAATTTGACTTATTCAATTCCCACTCAAAACCCTGTGACGTTTCCTTCTCTACCCAATAGCTTTACAAACTCCTCTCATTTGTTACAATTGCTTCCTGACATCAAATTCCAAATTGCAATAAATGATTTATTTAAATGTTAGGATCGATAGCAACACAAATACAATAATGATGCAAAAAATGGGAAAAAGAAGGGAATACAAGTTTTACTTGTGAAGTACAATTTCCATGACATCCACATCTGTTTCTATGATTTTTTTTTTATTTAATTTTTGATCAATTCTGACATTGTGTTTGGATCTGCCAAGACAATGATGGTTTTAACTCAAATATAAGACTCTAAATTCAAAATTTAGTAATTGTACTTAAAAAAAATACTAGTACTATTATGCATAAAACTATAACAGGGATTTTTCTTTTATGCATAGTAGCACTAGTATTTTTTTGAAGTACAATTACTGAATTTTGCTAAGAGAATTAATTATAGTAATTGATTTCAAAATTCAAATCATCAATAGAAAACAAAGAAAGTACCTATTAGAATAGTTGTTAGTGAATTGGATTTTCCTAGGCCATGGGAGCATCTCAAAATCATATACCCTCAAAAAGAGTCCTCATGGAGAGATGATAGACTACAGAATATAGAGAGACATAGCAAACCAAACCATGTGGAACACTAACACTCCCCCACAAACATTGATATTTGTGTAGTCACGTTTTCGCTCCAAAAGAGCCCTTACAAAGATTGGGTGGACTCCAACATAAATAGAGACATACGGGATCATGATGTGGGACAGTAATAGTACGTAATAGACTCTTTGCTTGTGGTATTCACACATATACGTAACAGGTGTCTTCGGTTTTTATCTTGGATGTAAACAACAAGATTGAAGAAGGTCTCTCAATCCTGAAATACGCACGCCTTTCAACAAACAAATGTCATGTGGAAGACGACTTATGCTTGTACCTGCTACATTTAACCATTTTAAACATTTCAACTTACAGATGCCGATTGGGATATCTTGTAAAAACTTACACTCCCCTAGGTCTAGCCGCTCTAAATGTTGTAATCGGTCAAGATCCTCCGGTAATTTCTCAAGTAATTTACAATCATCAAGTCCGAGACATTTCAGATATTTCAACATACAAATGCTATCCGGAAGATGTTTGATGATTATGACAGATTTAGCCATTCCAAATGTTCTAATTTGCCAAGATCCTTTGGTAATGTCTTAAGTGAAGAACAACGAAAAAGAGTGAGTGTTCTCAGACGTTTCAACATACAAATGCTATCTGGAAGATGTCCGATCTTTGCATACGACAAATATAGTGTCTCTAAATATTCTAATCGACCAAGATCCTCGGGTAACTTTTCAAGAAAGAAACAATCTATAAGATCAAGAAGTATCAGATGTTTCAATTTACAAATGCTATCAGGAAGATGTTTAATCTTTGCAGATGACAAAGTCAATCTTTTTAAACATTCTAATCCGCCAAGATCCTCAGGTAACTTCTCAAGACTCCAACAATGTTTAAGTTGAAGAATTTCCAGATGTTTCAGCATACAAATGCGATCCGGAAGATGTTTCATATTTGTCCTAGAAAAACTTAGCTCTTCTAGACATTCTACCTGGTCAAGGTCCTTGGGAGCCTCCAGATAGCCTTCGAGTTTAAGCTTTTTTATACAACGTAAACCACAAATGCTTACTGAAAATGTCTCAAGGTTTGTGCAAGCACACGGACCTTCAGAAATAAGCTTCTCAAGATATCTAGTCACTGAGGGATCGTCAATGTAAAAGCATTCAAACTGAAACTGTCGCAAAGTATTGTCCGGGTGAAGGGGACATCTTTCAAGGGACTTGGCAATCAGATGTGACTCAGCTGAAGGACCAATCTCAAGTGATTCATCCCTTCTACTAGAAGCAACATTCCTTTTGTCAAACAAAAAAGATGTAAACCTCAAACAGCCACTTAAGTCCAAGTAGACAAGATTTTCTAGACATCCAAAGGGAACATGAAGTTGTAGCAGATTCTTACATTCTTTTAGATCTAACTTCTTCAGATTTGGAGTCAACCCAAGGTCAAAGGTTTTCAACTTTGAATGACTAATGTTGAGGGATGTGAGCTTTAGACATTTATCAGCCATGTGAAGGTCTTTCAAATCATAACAGTAGTTAAGATCTAAATCCTCCAGATTCGGAGTCCACCCAATGTCTAGGGTCCTCAACTGTGAATTAGTGAGTGTCAGGGATCTGAGATTCAGACATTTACGAGGCATGTGAAGTTCTACCAAAGCGTTGCAGTCTTTAAGATGTAAAAGCTCAAGATTCACACATGAATGAAGGTCAATGGTCTTCAATTTAGAACCACTGAGGTTAACAGATATGAGCTTTAGACATCCATTTGGTAAGCGAAGTTCTACCAAAGCATTGCAGCCTTTAAGATGTAAGAGCTCGAGGTTCACAGCAGGGCGAAGGTCGATTGTCTTCAAATTTGAATCGCTAAGGTCGATGGATTTGAGCTTTCGACATCCATTGAGCATGTGAAGTTCTACCAAGTCACGGCATCCTCTTAGAGACAACGCCTCGAGATTTGGACTAAGCCCAAGAGAAAGGGTCGTCAACTTTGAATAACTGAGGTCAAGAATCTTGAGCTTGTTAAGAACCTAACATAAACAAATGAACAAGATCAATATTGGTTTAATTACAAAGCAATGGATGTATAGCATCATGTAAAACAATCAATCAACCATAATTCTACCTTTTTTTCTCCCCCTTCCCAAAGTTGTACGATTCTGCTTTTAACCATCCTAAGGGTAACAAGATTATTAGCTTGAAATGTGTTGGGTAAAGCCCATAAAGGGTACCGGTACCAATGCAGATATTGTAAAGCATTTGGAAAGTATTGGCTGACATTATCATATTTCCATTCTCCACCAAAATTATGCATTATATCTTGAGACATGTGAAGAAATCTAAGTTCCTTCATCTTTCTAAGACCCTTCATAACAATTTCAAAATTGCCTCCCATTAACTTGAATTGTATGTATCTTGTTGCTTTAGTACCCTGTAATGCAAAAGCAGTCACCATGAAACTTGTGTCATAACAAATGCATAATATGCTAGTTTCATAAAACTTACAAATAAACTTGACCTTACCAAGTCATTAGCCAATATATCTTTAATTTCATCGTCAATCCACAATCGGCTGTGTTTCTCAGGCTTATCTGGGTGCAAACGACGAACAATATTTCTGCCCATTTCTTCAATATGGTCATGCATGCCCACAAACTCATAAGGTTTACCAATAGTTATGAGAGATTTTTGCTCAAGAACTTTTAAACCATTTCTGCCATGAAATCCACAACTTTCAAGCACTTCGATTGCTAAGTCTTTTGACCACCCTTTCAGTAAGCATGCAATATTTAGGAATATTTCTTTGTAATCTTCCTCCAAATTGTTATAGCTTAATTCTAATATTTGAAGAGTTTCCTTTAACGGAATTGTTTTTAATCTTTCTAGTGCATCTATCCATTCACTCTTATTTTTACCACAAAGAAATGAACCCAAAACTTTTATCGTTAAGGGAAGACCAGCAGCATACCGTACAACTTGTTCCGATAGCTCTTCATACCCTTGAATTGGAATCTCTCCCCCAAATGCATACCTACTGAAGAGGCAAATCGCTTCCTCCTCTGATAACAAATTGACATCAAGAATCAACTTCGCCCGGTGTGCCACGAGCACCTGCTCATCTCTTGTTGTAATGATAATTCTACTTCCCGGTTTGAACCAATAAAGATCACCAGCTAACGCCTCAAGCTGGTCAATATGGTCCACATCATCTAGAACAAGAAGAGTCCTTCTATTACGCATCTTCTTCTTCATCATGATTTTCCCATCATGAACACTACTCACATTGATGCTTTGATCAAATAAGGCATCTTTAAGGACTTGATTTTGCAATGATTTCAAACCAGACAAAGAAGTATTTGAATTTTCCCTAACATTCTCAACGAAGCTTTTAGCTTCAAACCGAAAGGATATTTGATCAAAAACCACTCTGGCCAAAGTTGTCTTCCCAACACCTCCCATCCCCTTGATACCGATTACACGAACATCATCAGTACCAATTTCTAAAGATGATACAGCATCCTTTACCCTGGTCTCCATGCCTATTAGTTTTTCATCAGCATTGAAATCAATGGAACGTAACTGTAGTGAAATTTCTTCAATAATTTTTTGTATGAGTTTGGCTTCATGCCTATATATTAAAGAAGATTCAGTTAGTTTGCTCAAAATCCCACGTGAACTATAATAAAACACAAAGTATATGAAATAATAACATAACCATAGAACATGAGATGTCTTGGATGACCTTTTCAGACATAGATTACTAACAAACAAAATGAAGGAATATTGCACAGATATGATAATAGAATAGTGATAACCGTGCAGATTGGAAATTAAACTAATACTAGTAGATAAGCTCAAATAACTTCTTTTTTGGTTAGGGTTGAATTATGAAAAAAAAAAAAAAAAAACGGAGACCTCCTTTTTGAAATTATTAGAAAATTGAAATTGGAAACCGAGTTGCAATGGACATGATTAGGAATTATTCGTAAGTCGTAAGTTCGGCTAAAATCGATAAGAAAAAAAGGTCCCGGCAGGTCAAAATGGGGTCAAGTATAACAACCCGGTCCAGCCTATATCGACCAAAATGGGATCTTGTGATCAAAATTAAAGAATAATTAAACAAAGATATGATCGATGAAGGAAGGAATTACCCATTTGAAGTGTTCTTCAACTCCCATCCAGCCAGATCTGCGGCTTCTTTTAGAACCTCTTTCCATTTCCCAGCAGCCTCATCACTTTCATGTTTAACAAAAGCTTTTCCGACTGCCCCGCTTTGATTCCGGACCTCTGTCGGTTCCACATCATAGAAGATGGGGTATGCAGTATGCTCAGTCGTCTTGTGACACTCCATTATCATCACAAGCTCCTCCAAGCACCAAGCTGAAGATGCATAGTTCTTGGAGAAAACAATGATATAGAATTTTGAGTCTTTAATGGAACTGATGAGCTCATCACTGATCCTTTTCCCTTTTCTAATTGCCTCATCATCCTTGTAAGTATAAATGCCTTGCTGCTGAAGAGCATTATAAAGATGATCGACGAAATTGGTGCGTGTGTCTTCACCTCTAAAACTCAAAAATACATCATATGTAAAGCTTTTCTGAATGGATGCAATCGAAGAAGAGGCCATTGAAGTTTAAGGCTTGAAGGATCTCCTATTCAGATCTTTGTTGCGTAAAGTTTATGTGAATTTTGGATGAGTTGACTAACCCTATCAAGAAGATGGTTGTGTGGTAATGCCAACGCCGAGTGATTGAAAAAGTGGTATTCTGGAGAAGGAACTACGAAGCCACTTTTTTGGAACTTTATCAGGACAAAATTAGGGGGTTTGGAAGTTCTTTTCTTTAGAAGGATTTGTATGGGACTTATATGGGAATGTGTTTGTATTAAGCAAAATGAATTTTTGATTAATTTTTATATGTAAATTCATAAAAAGTCACAAAAGTTAGGTTTTCGTGACTTTTTAAAACTCATTCTTTTACTTTTTGAAAAAGTCATTTGAAAAGAACTTTTTATTTATCCAAAAATCTTTTTGCTTTTTTTTTTTAAGTTTTTGAAAAAGTTAAAAGTTAAAAAGTCAATCCAAAAGCAATGTCGAACACCCATTACGTTGATAAAACGGAAATTGAGTTTTTTTTGGTTTTTTTAAATATCGTTAATTATTTATTTTTGAAAAATAACCTTTTGATTCAGAATGGATGATTCCGGATTCAAAAACTGATCCAAACCAAATACTATAGACCAATGATATATATATATATATATATATATATATATATATATATATATATATATATATATATATATAGGAGTTAGGATCAAATGAGAACACCAAAAAAGTTGAGAACGCGAGAACAAATCTGAGCTCTTCAAATATTACGATCTAAGGCTAATATAATTTATAAAGGTCATGAGATGAAAATGTAAATTTCTAAAAGTTATGGGATGAGATTGTAAATTTTTAATAGTCTAAAGGGTAATATGGTCATTACATGTTAACCTATTTTCGT